GATGCTGGAGAATATTGGTGTGTGTGTGGGCAGGAGAGGACCTCAGCAAAGCTCACTGTGAAGGGTAAAAACTGCATGTGTGCTAGTGATCTGTGACATGATGTCTTCACCATGGTGTCCCATGTCACCATTTCTGTCTCCATATGTGTCTGATCCCCTATGAGTGTCCATGGATATCTGGTCTCCATGTGACTGAGGTCTCTTGGATTCTCTCACCTCATTGACCCCCTTGGCCTGTAGATGTCATGATGTTCATGTTTATGAGACTCACCTTTAATTATCTTTGTCCTCTGTTCCCCTCGTGACCATTTACTTCCCTCAGCAATTGTCCATTTGTTTTTGTCCATCACATTGCTTCTTTGGGAGTCGATGTGTTTCCTTGTGGGTGACTTTGTCCTGTACACCAAATCTTCCAGATAGTATGATGTTCCCCATATGCATTTGGCCTTCCCAGCCCTGCCAGCCAAATTCATACAAAGTCTGAAGAGCGAGGAGGCCAGTGAAGGGGCCTCGGTCACACTGCAGTGAGAATTGAGCAAGGCAGCCCCTGTGCAGTGGAAGGAGGGCTCTGAGACCTTTGGTGCTGGGGATAGATATTGCATGAGACAGCATGGGATGGGACTATGTGTGAGCTGGAGATCAGTGCTCTGACTGTGGCGGATGCAGGGGAGTACATTTGTGTCTGTAAGCAGAAGAGGACCTCAGCAGCTATCCCCATACAGAATAAAAGTATGTGTGGCCATGTGGGTCTGTTGAGCCAACCTCCATAGAATTCAATGAATGTTTGTTATCCATCTCACTGGGAACTCCAGTGTTCTCCTTGCTTCTCAATAGATGTTGTTGCTTTGACCAATAGATGTCATGATTTTCATGTTCACAAGGTTATGTCTTATTATTATTGTCCTCTCTTTCTCCATGACCATTTGTTTTCCTCATCTTTTGTTCATTTGCTTGTTTTCTTTGTTCCTTGGGAAGCTCACGTGTTACTCTGTGGGTGTCTGTGTCCTGTACATAAAGTCCTCCAAACAGTCTGATGTTCTCCATGTCCGTTTGACCCTCTCAGCCCTGCCAGCCAGATTCATACAAGGTCTGAAGAATGAAGAGGCCATGGAAGGAGCCATGGCCACACTGCAGTGTGAGCTGAGCAAGGCAGCCCGTGTTCAGTGGAAGAAGGGCCCTGAGACCCTCATTGCTGGGGACCGATACAGCTTGAGGCAGGATGGAGCCACCTGTGAACTGGAGATTCAGGGCCTGGCTCTGGTGGATGCTGGCGAGTACTCGTGTGTGTGTGGGCAGGAGAAGACCTCAGCCATGCTGACTGTTAGAGGTAAAGACCTCTTGTGGCTATGTGGACCATTTGTCTCCACATCATCACCTTCAGCCTCCATCTATACCAAAGCTCCTGTGGGACTTGTGGATGTCTGTGCTCTGTAGATATTGTGATGTTCATGTTCACAAGGCTCTCTCTTTCTTGTCTCCGGTTTCTTTCATGACTGTCTTGTTCCTTTACCAATGTCCATTTGTTGACTTGTACATTCTTTTGTTCCTTTAGGAATTTGTGTATTTTTTGTGTATGTGTGTGCATGTACTATGCACAAAGTCCTCCAGACAGTCTGATGTTCTCCATGTTCATTTGGCCCTCCCAGCCCTGCCAGCCAGATTCATACAAGGCCTGAAGAGTGAGGAGGTTACAGAAGGGGCCAAAGCCATACTTCGATGTGAGCTGAACAAGATGGCCCCTGTGCAGTGGATGAAGGACTCTCAGGCTCTCAGAACTGGGGACAAATACAGCCTGAGGCAGGATGGGACCATGTGTGAGCTGGAGATCCATGACTTGGCTATGGAAGATGCTGGAGAATATTGGTGTGTGTGTGGGCAGGAGAGGACCTCAGCAAAGCTCACTGTGAAGGGTAAAAACTGCATGTGTGCTAGTGATCTGTGTGGCATGATGTCTTCACCATGGTGTCCCATGTCACCATTTCTGTCTCCACCTGTGTCAAATTCCCCATGAGACTTTATGGATGTCTGATCTCCATGTGACTGAGATCTCTTGGATTCTCACACCTCCTTGGCCCCCTTGACCAGTAGATTCCATGATGTTCATGTTTTCGAGGCTCATCTCGAATTATCTTTGTTCTGTTCCCCTCGTGACCATTTGCTTCCTTTACCATTTGTTCACTTGTTTCTTTGTCCATCACATTGCTTCTTTGGGAGCTTATGTGTTTCCTTTGTGGACATCTGTGTCCTGTACACAAAGTTCTTCAGACAGTATGATGTTCTCCATGTCCATTTGACCTTTCCAGCCCTGCCAGCCAGATTCATACAAAGTCTGAAGAGTGAGGAGGCCACAGAAGGAACCACAGCCACACTGCGGTGTGAACTGAGCAAGGCCGCCCCTGTGCAGTGGAAGAAGGGTTCTGAGACCCTCAGTGTTGGGGATAGATATTGCATGAGGCAGCATGGGGCTATGTGTGAGCTGGAGATCCGTGGCCTGACTGTGGCAGATGCTGGGGAGTATTTGTGTGTCTGCGGGCAGGAGAGGACCTCAGCAATTCTCACCGTGAAGGGTAAAACTGTGTGGCCATGTGGATCAGTGGGGTGATGTTTGCACTATTGTTTCCTTCATGTCTATCTTTTCTTGTCCTCTGTTCACCCTATGATGTTTGTCTTCCTCCTGCTCACCTGAAGGGTTAAAGACCACATGTCACCACATAGATTGGTGGTGGTGGTGGTGCTTCTTGAAATCCTCTACATTCCCAATCGCACCATGCTCACTTCCTCTTTGTCTTCACCCCTCCTTTGTATCCTTTTGATTACTCTCTGTCCTCTGCTTGCCCTTTTCATAGCTCTGCTCTCCTCCCTGATATCCCAACAAGTCCCTGTGGGGTAGAATGACATCTGACCTTTCTGGTGTATCAGACTCATTGGAGGTCTGCAGGGGAGAAAGCCCTTCCCTGGAGGGTCTGAGGAGACTTAGATTTGCCCTCAGGGGTCCGAAGGGACATAACCCTACCCTGGGAGATCCTGTGAAAAAGAAAGTCTGCCTTGGAGGTGGTCTGTTTTTTAACAGTCCCTTCCCTGGGGGATCTGGTAGATACAGCTGTGCCTTGGAGGGTATGAGAGGACACAGCTCTGCCTTGGGGGATTTGAGGAGAAGCCATGCCCTGGGAGCTCTGAGTGTATAGTCCCCTGAGGGGGTTTGAGAAGATCCACTCTGCCCTAATAGCCTAAGTAACATGGCTCTGCTTGGGTCCTCCGTTTTTGGAAGTCTAGCATGAGGAAACCCTGGGTTAGTCCCCTCTCCCCAGGATCCCTAACCATGTTTTCTTTTACTTTTGAGCAAACAAGCACCTCTACTCCCTCTTTTGTGTTTCTACCATGCTGGTCTAGGCACTGCAGGTGGGGGAGTGAGCTGAGGAGAGACTGGAGTCAGTACCTTGCCTAGTTCTCCCTAGTTGGGCTTTTTCTGGTTCTGGGGGTAGTTTGGAACTGACCCTGTTTCCTCTCCCCCACCTTGCAGCCCACCAGGTGGTATTTACAATGCCTCTGCAGAGTCTGCAGGCTGAGGAGGGCTCCACGGCCAGCCTCCGGTGTGAGCTGTCCATGCCAGATACTGCTGTGATCTGGAGCAAAGGTGGGCTGGAGCTGCAGGTCAGTGGTCGACTGGAGCTGAGAAAGCAGGGGCCTGTGGTCGAGCTGCTTCTGCGCGATCTCCTTCGGGAAGATGCTGGGGAGTATAGCTGCACCTGTGGCTCCCAAAGCACCAGTGCCACCCTCACAGTCACAGGTGGGCTCCATCTCCCAGACCTGCCTGCTACCCACCTTGCCTCACCCAGGCTTGGCAGGACTCAGTCTCTGCATAGCTTGTGCTCCTGCCCCAGGGACAGATTGGAGGGTCTGTGCGCTGCTTGCAATGGACATAGCCTGTCCTTGAGGCTGGCTGCGATGTGTGTTCTGGGTCCTGTGGGCAGGGAGCTGGGATCTGCCCTCATGCTCCGTGTCCCCCATGTAGCTGCACCTGTGTTGTTTCTGCGGGAGCTGCAACCCCAGGAAGTGGATGAGGGTGCGACAGCGCGGCTGTGCTGTGAACTGAGCCGACCAGGAGCCAGTGTGGAATGGCGCAAGGGCTCTCTGCAGCTTTTCCCCTGTGCCAAGTACCAGATGGTACAGGACGGTGCAGTTGTCGAGCTGCGGGTATGCAGCGCCGAGCAGGAGGACTGTGGGGACTACACCTGTGACACAGGGCAGAGACAGAGCACAGCCAACCTCTTGGTCCGAGGTAAGCCCCACCCCGTCCTGCCCTACCCACCAGGCTGCTCCTCCATCTTAACTACTGGCCCTAACACCTCTCCCTGACACCTTAGTCCCTAGGCCCCAGTTCAAGGCCCAGCTGCAGAGCATGGAACAGGAGGTGGGTGGTGTTGCGAGGCTGTGCTGTGAGCTGAGTGTGGATGAGCCAGGGGCTCCCGTGCAGTGGCTAAAGGAGGGCGTGGAACTTCGTGGGGGCCCTAAGTACGAGATGCGGCGCCAGGGAGCCAGGTGTGAGCTGCTGATCCGAGGGCTCGAGGCCAAGGACACAGGAGAGTATGCCTGCATGGTAGATGGCCAGAGAACCTTGGCCTCCATCAAAGTCAAAGGTGAGGAACTACCTGGGACCCCACCACCACACCAGACACTTACAGTTCACCTGGGATACACCTGGCCTGCCTCAAGCACCACTCTTACCAGGATTTGTCCATAGGGGTGGCTGGGGGCTGGGCCCAGTGTCCAATTCTCTTGTGTCATCCCCACACCCATACCCTGGGGGAAGGGTGCAGGTGAGGCTCAAACCCCTGAACTACTAGTGAGCAGCCCCTAGAGTGTCTTTTCTGAAGGCCTTACTTTCCCGGGGCTGGCTGCAGGGCTGGGAAGAATCCTTCATCCACTTCATACAGGCAGTCTCTGCCCGAGACGAGTTCAAAGTCATTTGTGGGTGGGCTTTGAGCTTGGTGACAGTGTTGTGGACAGATGAAGCTAAGGTGGGAGGAGAACATGGGATGGCCTGGCAGATTTCCTAGAAGAGGAGTGGAGCCAGAGCGGCACCCATCAGTGAGATCCCCTCACCACCCCCAGAGCCTGAGGTGACCATTGTGCGGGGGCTGGTGAATGCTGAGGTACAAGCTGATGAGGACGTGGAGTTCCACTGCGAGGTGTCGCGGCCTGTGACCACAGGTGTGGAGTGGCGGCTCCAGGGCCTGCCACTGCAGAGTAATGAGGTGACTGAGGTGGGCATGCAGGGCAGCTGCACCCACACACTGCGGCTGAAGGGCGTCACACCTGAGGATGCTGGTACTGTCTCCTTCCACGTGGGCCTCTGCACTTCCTCTGCTCAGCTCACTGTCCGAGGTAATGGGGCTAGTGTGGGCTGTGGTGGGAGGGACAGAGACAGACAACCAAGGATTCCTGTTTGGGAGGATTCAGGAACTGGGGAAGAGAAACCCACAGATGGACATTCTTAGAGTGGCACAAAATGTCAGGGTGAAGAATGGAACTTGGGATCTGGGGGTCTGTCAGGTGGTGGACTTCCCAGTCTTTGATCATCTTTACTACCTCCATCGGCTACAGCCTGCCTCAGTCAAAAGGAATGGAAAATATGTTCTCTCTGTTCTGTGTCTTCAAGAATTGGGATGGGGTAACAGGGGCAGGACCCGGGAGAAGGCCTGAGCCATACCTGAGCCATGCCTCTGCCTCCCCTGCCCAGTCCCTGAGGTGACCATCCTGGAGCCTCTGCAGGACGTGCAGCTTAGCGAGGGCCAGGATGCCCGCTTCTGGTGCCGGCTGTCCAGGGCTCTGGGCCAGGAGGCCTGCTGGGCTCTGAGTGGGGTGCCCTTGCAGGCCAACGAGATGAATGACATCACAGTGCAGGATGGCGTGCTTCATGTACTCACGCTGCACAAGGTGGGTTCACCAGGACCGGCTTCCTCACAGTGCTCCCAGGGACCCTCCCACCACTAGTCTTGGGAGGAAAGATCCCTGGGGGAAGGTTCTCACTGTATTACAAAGGACTTCAACCCATTCAAATGCTTTTCCTGGAGGTGCTAACTCAGGAGGTGTTGAGCCCCTGCCCTGGGTGTGTGAGCAGAGGTGGATTGACCCCATGGGGAGATTGTGGATCCCTCCTGATCAGGATGGGGTCTCCTGCGGCTGAGTATCTCCATGTTGGTGTCTTTAGGTAACTCTTGAGGATGCTGGAACGATCAGTTTCCAAGTGGGCTTGTGTAGCTCAGAAGCCCAGCTGAAGATCACAGGTGAGCACCCTTCTCCCATGCCTGGTCCAGCCCCTCCTGGGCCCTAGAACTTCTCTTAGAAGGGCAGCTCATGGGCAATTGTTTATGGGAAGGTGTGGCCAGAAAACCACAGCACTGACTCTGCTTTGGAATCTGCCCACTAAAGCTAGGGCCAGGCCAGGTGGGCTGGTGAGAACATTAACTGTCCACTTACTTAACACTATGCTGCAAGTACAGGCACATATATGCACATTCTTGTTGATGCAAACCCACACATCCCTCATGGCACTGGTGTAATAGGACACCTGCTCATAGATTATATGCCTCAGACCTTCAAACAGGATTTTAAGGACGCTGTTTTCAACTTGGGTTATAGTTTGCCTGCCAAGCTAGTCAGCCCCACCTCTGCTGTTTTACTCCTGGTTTTCAAACTGGTCTCTATCTATCCATCATCCATCCCCTCATCCATGTAGCATCTATTCATTCATCCACTATCCATTGATTATTCACCCATTCATCCACAACCTATTCATCTAAAATCCATTCATCATCCACTATCCATCCATTAACTATCTCACCATTATTTCATCCATCTACTATTGTCCATCTATTTATCATCCATAATTCACCATCCCTCCATCTCTTCATCCATGTACCATCATTCATCCATTCATCATCCACCACTTACCATCTACCATCCACCCACTCATCACCCAACCATTCATGTTGTTGTTATGTGCCGTGGAATCGATTCCGACTCATAATGACCTTGTACAGGGTTTCCTGTAAATCTTTATGGGAGCAGAAAACCTCATCTTTCTCCCACGGAACAGCTGGTAGTTTCGAACTGCTGACCTTAAGGTTCACAGCCTGATTCGTAACCACTACGCTACCCGAGCTCCTTACATTCATACCTCTTTTGAAAAAAAAAAAAATCCCTCTAATCCCCTGCTTTTGACCAAGTCCCAGACCTTGAGATTGACTGGATACAGGTGTACCCTCAGGGGAGTCCTGAATTTGCTGGTGGAGTTAGACATGGAGATAAAGTATGCCCTGATGTCTCAGATGCCCCAAGTCTTCAGGGCCTGGGTAACTGTGGTCTATTCTATGGCCTATCGGTTTGTAAAAGAGTTCAAAGTGCTAATGCTCTAAAGCTGAGCAATGGAAGAAGGGGAGTTTCGTAGTTCTTTTGAACAAGGATTAAGAAGAGTCTGATGAATTCACTGGGTGGGCAGTTGTGTGGGGATGGCTTTGTGGGGTGGTTACGTTGGACCTTGCAGGTCCACCTGAGTGCTGCTCTTAAGCCCCATTCTAGGTAAGGTGTTCCCAGCCTGAGCAAGCCTGTTCACGTATAGACACCGGCCCTGGCCCCACTGCAGAGCTTAGATCTCGGTGGACAGAGTGTGTTTTAGTTAGTGCCTTGGTAAGTCATGTGACAAGTAAGTCAAGCTTTGGAGCCAGTGCTGGATGAGACTGGACATGCAGACAGTGCAGAAGTTGGTCACTTGGGGAAGATGGTTACCTGGCAGTTTGGGGGCTTTGCTGCTGGCTTGACAATGCACACTGAGAAAGGTTGTTAGAGGCTTCCTGAGGAGAGTCTGCTGAGGGAGGAGAGCACAGGCAGACATTTGAACTGGCTGCCCTGCCTGGGCATTGTGCTGAAGAGGGTACCTCTGGGAGCTCTCTCTACCTGCCCCCTCTGACTTTCTACCCAGGGACTTGAGTGACAGTGGGTAGTGGGGAAAAAAAAATCTAGACTTTGCCAACTGGAGGCTAGTTTCTATCTCTTTGTGAGGAGCACCCAAGATGGCATAATGTACGTCTGGATAGGTAAGGGGCTCAAAGACAAGGACAGATAGGGGTGCACAGATCCTCTACTCTACATGGAAAATGAAAGAGGGAACAACTCTGTCCCCATTCCCCAGCCCCAAGCAGCAGGTGGTGAAGAAGCCTTTGATTCTCCCATATCAGCCCCAAATTCATCTTTCTCTTAACCCATGGTGGGCGGGGTCTTGGCTGTGAGGGCAGCAGTACCCTGGGTGATCTCAGTCCTATCACTAATCCTGCTGGAACAAGACTGGGAGATTTCTGGGGAGGAGGACAAGATGGGAAGAGGAGTATGTGGAGGGCACAGGGCAGCCAGAGTCTGGGGTGGAGTCTGGGAAGCTTCTAGAGCCAAGCCACTTTGTGTGACAGTGTGACAGCCTGCTTTTGGGTCCCAGAATATTAGCACTAAAGGAACCTCAGAGAACACCTGGAGAATTTATCTTTCAGGATTGCACACCTCAGGGACATGGTGCTTGCTTCCTTAAGCAGACCTTCCTCTTCCAGGCAGGCACATTGCCTCTCCTCCTCACTTGTTTCCCACCCCATGCTGATTCAGATAGGAGAGGCTCCCTAATCACAGGACCTGAGGCAGAACTGCTCTGCCTCCTCACTGGTCAGCTGTCCCTGAAACGGGGTGTTTTGAGGTGAGGGGGGTACAGGACTGTGAATGGGCACAGAACCTGAGAGTGGAGCTTTCATGCTTCCATTTTTGCTGGCAGGGTTGGTTTCCAAACCCCCAACCCAGGTCACCTTCCACCTTCTTTTGGCTCCACCCAGGTGTACCCCAAAATGGCCCTACCCAGGTAGACCCCAGAGTTGTTCCCACCCAAGTAGATCCCAGGGTGACTGCAGAGAACCCATGCATAGGAACACCCCAGGATGGCCAGCTCAGGCCTTTCTTCTCGCCCTGTCACGCAGAGGCAGCATTACGCCTGGTGCGTGGTTTGCAGAACGTGGATGTCTTCGCGGGGGAGGTGGCCACATTTTCCTGCGAGGTGTCTCGCGCTGGTGGGCCAGAGGCCCGCTGGTGGCTGGATGGGACCCGGCTTCAGGACAGCCCCCAGAGCGCCATCGCTGTGCGTGATGGGACCCTCCACTCCCTCACACTCTCAGGCCTGGGGGTTGCCGACTCGGGTACCATCACCTACCGGGCGGGGCCCTTGGTCTCCACAGCCAAGTTGTTGATCAAAGGTATTGGCAGGTGGGCTGCTCCACCTCTATGCTAACGCTTCTGCCCCCACCTGCATGCTTCCTGCAGGCTTCTGAGCTGGATCCATGACAGATCATGGTTGACCCTCATGACATGGACTGGGCAGTGCCTTCCAGTGCTGTCTGCAGGTGGCAGTCATGAGAACGGCTGGCAGGATCCTGCCTTGATTCTTAGCTGAGAACAGGAGGCTTGGGGGAAACGTGAAGCAGAAGACAGAACCTATGCCCAACCTTTCCATAGGCCCCTAGGCATTGTCCGCCTGGCTGCTGCCTGCCACTGGCTGGGCCTCAGTATTCCCCACACTATTAAGTCCCTGTCCCTCAGGCACCTTCAGAGGGCAGTGAGGAGGGTGATAGTAGCCTCCTTCTCCAGTAATTCCTTTGACAGAAGGTCACAGCACCCTCCCTGGGCCTCTGCCTGCACCCACTGTGGGCTTGGGAAGGGCTGGCTGATGGGAAAGGCCTAACCCCCACCTCCAGTATTGACATCATGGTCCCATGCCTTGCCTGTTACACAGATACCCAAACGCTGTGCTGGGGGACAGAGGTCCTACCCCACATCCAGTGGCTGGGTCTGGGGGTACAGTCAGTGTTGCTGCCCCCGAGCTGTACAGAAAAGGATGAGCACAACTTCCTCTTTATAGACTGGCATTTAGTATTTACTTAAGATTGGGAAAACAATCCAGAACCTCTGTAAAAGTTTTGGAGTATTCAGGTTTAGAGAGAACACAGTCTTTGGATGAGTGGAATTTTAACAAGTGGAGGTGATGCAGGACCCTGGGAATTTCAGGTGACCCTGGGAATATGAGATGCTGGAAGGTTCAAGGCCCCTGCAGAGTAGCCAGGCTAGACTGGAAGGCCATGTGCCAGGGCCTGAGGGCTGTCAGGAGGGGCTGTTGTGTCCCCTGCAGAGTGAGGGGCAGAACCCTGGGCTAGCAGAGGTGGAACACAGGGCAGGAGGGCCCACCCTGACAGAGAAGCCCAATGACACTGCTGAGGGTGGAGGGGCCATGTGAGGTGTGTGTGGCCACTTGTCCTAGTGTGTAGGTGAAGAGGGTTATGGGACCAGCACTCTACACCTGTCTCTCACTCATGCAGCTCCCTGCTTGCCTGCCTGAGCTTGCAGCCACTGATACCACAGTAGCAACAGTAGGGGGTGTGGCCGTGCTGCTGTGCCTAATGCTCTCCTGGGGTGTCGGCCGACAGATCCCACGGTGGAAGTGGTCAGTGCCATGCAGGACCTGGTGGTGGAGGAGGATGGCACGGCTGAGCTCCTCTGCCAGTACTCCCGGCCTGTGCAGGCCACATGGAAGAGGGATGAGCAGGAGGTGCGTGCCGACGGGCGTCGGGTCATCATAGAGCAGGACTGGAACGTGGCCAGGCTGACCCTCAGGCCGGCCTTGCCCTGCGACAGCGGCATCTATGCCTGTGAGGCTGCGGGCACCCGTGTGGTGGCCCTGCTGCAAGTGCAAGGTGAGGCCGCCCAGCTGGCAGCCAGGACCCAGCCGCAGCCACAGCGAGGCCCAGGCTGTGCCAGGATGGGAGGGCAGCAGGCAGTGATAGCCAGGACCTGGTGAGGCTCGGGATGTGCTAGAATGGGGGGCTGGCAGATAGTGACAGCCAAGACCTATACAATGAGGCCTACAGTATGATGGGGAATAAAAGCAAGGGACCAAAAGAATGAGACTAAAGAGAAAATATAAAAGATGATAAAAACTCCGAGCATGATCACAGCGGTGGCTTTCGCTTTGGCTGCACCAGGACCTGACCCTTCCCTCCCAAGCCCTGCTTTCTTCCAGCACCACTCCTCTAGGGTGGGGGTAAGGGCAGGATAGCCCCTAGGAGAAGTTGCTCTCAAAGGTTCTGTATCCAAGATAGCTGAGAAAAACTCAGGGAGGAGGCAGGCAGCAGGTGGGGTAAGGGCCTTAGGAGAGGGGTGGGCAATGAGGCAGCCTGGAGTAGTGATTCTGAATGCCTGGGTAAAGCTATACTCGGGAGCAGAGGAGGCAGGCTGAGCTCTGCAATCCTGGATTCAAATCCCAGCACTGCCCCTTCCTGGGCAGGTGAGTGTCATCCCCATGTGTAGCTCAGGGATGATAACCTATGGGCCCCAGCCCCTGAGGCAGGCTTAATTTAGCTGAGGTCATGTCCTATAACAGAAGTCTGACACTGTCCAGGTGGGAGAGAGAGAGAAACAACTACTGCTCAAGCTGGAGTCAACAAGGGGTGACCAGATCCAGGCCACTGGTCACCTCTCTGGGACTTCAGGGTGACAGGGACTGCAATTTGATAAGATGGACAGACAGGATCCCTCACACAGTGGCATCTGAGTTGGGGCCTAAGGGTTGTGAGGGTCAAGACAGGAAGTGCCGTTCGAAGGTGGGAACAGGGTTAAGGGCCTGGATCTGGGGCTTGTGGCCACTGCAGGATCTGGCCTTTCAGTCCTAGTAAGACGGGATGTTACTGGTGGTTTTGAGCAGAGAAATTACAAATTTGGACTGGATGCTTAGTGGAAGTAGTAAGGGTGGGGACAGGAGGTTCAGGTCAACTTCAGCTTTGACACGTTGGGTTCAGTTGAAATAAGCAACACAGAACCTGAGGGAGATCTCATTTCTTTACCTGGCCACGGCTCAGGTTTGCTGTTGTCCTTTATCTCTGTTGAGACCAGACATTACCTTACATCTGTGGCCCATATGGTGTTTCTTAGCATCTATAGTGATGGAGCCCTGGTGTGGCACTGTGGGTTAATGCACCAGAATACAAAGCCATTTGAACTACAAGGTCGGTGGTTCAAGCTTACCAGTTGCTCCTTGGAAACCCTATACAGGGCCTCTATGGGTCGGAACTGACTCGACGGCACTTAATAACAACAACAACAACAACAACATAATAATGGTGTAATGCTGTCGGTGGAGGGAAAGTTGGTCTAGACATAGGGAGATGAACAAGGAGTGTGTGTGGTCCCTGGCAGAGCCACCCAGCCAGAGGGGTGCTCAACGATGTAGTCAATGGCTTTTTGTGCTGTGGCCCTTTGATTGAAAGTGCCCACCAGAACCCCCCTTCTCCAGAGCAGAATACCAGTGGGTTGATCATGCCCATCCGCAGAGGCCCACCATCACCAGGAAGACCCCTGCACTGTGTTTGGCCTCTGGAGGTCCCAGAGATGACCAGCTATGTGCAGTCTATGTGTGGCTGCTGTGGAGATGGATGTAATTGTATAGACGAGAGAGAGGAAAAAAAGGAGCGTGAAACACTGTGGATAGTGGTTGGTGCTAGAACTGTGACAATGATGAAGGGTGGCAAGTGTGGCCTAGGGGCCCATGCTGCAGTTTGAGCATCCATTTCTCCTCCTGAGGTGGAGATGACCCCTACAGGATCGTATCACAGACCAACCACAGGTGGTGATGGGTGGCTGTGGAGATCCTGGCATGGGCCAGTCCATGGTTTACCCTGAGTGCTACCTTTATGTGTCTGTGCCCTGGCTGGCAGAGGAGCCAATACTGTCCCTGAGCTGTGTGCTCCCTTTACAGCCAAGAACACGGTGGTACGGGGCCTGGAGAACGTGGAGGCGCTGGAAGGAGGGGAAGCACTCTTCGAGTGCCAGCTGTCGCAGCCAGAGGTGGCCTCCCATACCTGGTTGCTGGATGATGAGCCCGTACGCACCTCAGAAAATGCCGAAGTGGTCTACTTTGAGAACGGCTTACGTCACTTACTCCTGCTCAAAAACCTGCGGCCACAGGACAGCTGCCGGGTGACCTTCCTGGTCGGGGACATGGTGACCTCAGCATTCCTCACTGTTAAAGGTGACTTCCCTTGGCTGGGTCTCCCTGTTCTGTGGACGGGTGGTGGTGGTGGTGGTGGAGGGAAGGCATCATCTAATGCCCTGTGGGGAGGGGATGTGTTTGATTGGCCTACCGTGCCCTGTGGCCCAGGCAACACCTCTTACCTCCTTGCTTGTGTGTTTGAAGGCTGGCGCCTGGAGTTCTTGGAGCCCCTACAGGATGTGTCGGTGAGGGCCGGTGGACAGGCCACTTTCCACTGCAAGCTTAGTGAAGCTGTGTCTGTGGGCGATGCTTCCTGGTACCTCAATGGTGCCATCATCTCATCAGAGGATGTCGACTGGGCAGTCACTGCCGATGGCAGCCACCACACCCTACTTCTGCGAAGCGCCCAGCCCCACCATGCTGGAGAGGTTACCTTTGCTGCCCGTGACGCCGTTGCCTCTGCCCGGCTCACTGTACTAGGTGGGTAATTCACAGGGGTGGTCCTGCAAGCGAGGTCTCGTCATGTTCCCACCTCGGAAACTCTCAGATAACGTGAATGAATCCTGGGATGGGAGCTGGCACCCTGGGAGCCCTTGTTGACTTGTCCAGACTGGGGAGTAGCTTAGTTCTCCTCCTAAGGCTGGCCTGCCCCCAACGTGACTTTGGCCTCCATGGTGGGCTCTGAAGACTCCTTTGGGGCTCTGGTCTTGAGACTAGCTCCTCCTAGCTCAGCTCAGGCAGAACACATCGGGCCTCCTCGGAGCCACTTTAAGGGTCTCTGGGTCCCAGAACAAAGCCAGTTTCTTGAAGTGGGAGGTGAACTAGAGCTCACAGAGTCAGGGAGAACAGGGTGTGTGGCTATCTTGACATCCTGGCTTCACAGGGAGACTGAGGGCAGCACATAGGGTGGACTCTCTTCAGATGCTTGCATCCTTGCTCCCAGGTACCTCAGGCAATTCTGAGGGTCCTGAGCCTGTGGAGCATAGTGAGACCCTGGGAAGGGTGATGCTGGCCAGCCCCTCTGCACTTGGGGCTTAGAACTTCTCTGTCTGCATGAACCTGCCAGTGATCCTTAATGATGGGCGGCCCCAGTGATTCCACACCTTCTCCTCTCTAGGCTCCCTGAGCAGAGCCCTCCAGGGGCAACAGGGATCAGGCAGGTCTTGGTGACCTCAGTCCTGCTATAGGTTGCCTCAAGGCTACTGGGGGTTCTTGGGCTCCCCTTCTCTAGACTGGACTCAGTGGACACACTCAGATACATGAGCCACCGGCCTCAGCCGCCTTGGGATCTGGTGCATCCAACAAAGGCCAGAGAACCAGATAGGCCTACACAAGCCACTGGATCTCTGACAACACCTGACCCCAGGCCCTTAGCACCAGACCCTGGGTTCAGCTGGAAGGGCTATCTTTTATCCATTCATGTGTTCATTGAACACTTGCCTGCAGGCCTCCCTGATCCCCCAGAGGATGCTGAAGTGGTGGGCCGCAGTGGCCGCTCTGTGACCTTGTCCTGGGTGGCCCCGACCAGTGATGGTGGCGGTGGCCTCTGCGGCTATCGGGTGGAGATGAAGGCGACCACCACAGGGGAGTGGCAGCTGTGCCACGAGCTGGTGCCAGGGCCGGAGTGTGTGGTGGATGGCCTGGCTCCCGGGGAGACATACCGCTTCCGTGTTGCGGCCGTGGGCCCTGTGGGTGCTGGGGAGCCTGTGCACCTGCCCCAGATGGTGAAGCTTGGTGAGTCCCATCCTTGTCCTACGGTAGGTAGATGCTGATTCTGGGTCCCAGTGCTAGTTCTTGTGTTGGCAAGATAAGCCACTCTCCACTTGAACCTAAACCCCTGCCCTGGGCCCTGGTATCTCATGTGCTGACTGGGTGATAGTTAGGTCTGGAGGCTGAAGCTTCCCCTTGCTGGCAAGGTCCTTTTTCGAGCCCCAAGGAAGCTCACCTGTTGGCAAGAGCCCTTGTGAGCTCTGAGGAGGGTCGGGGTCCAGAGTAACATCTTTGCTGACATAGGCCATTCTCTATATATGGATGCTGCTCCCCACAGAGCCCCTGGAACCCACACCTGCAACCCTGCCCCCTGTGAGCCGGGAAGTGGCAGTTGGCGAGGATGTGCGACTGGAGTGTGAGGTGATGGCCGAGGCCGGCCAGGTTACCTGGCAGAAGGGGATGGAGAGTATTCAGCCTGGCAGTCACTTTGAGATCATCACCCAGGGCCGGCAGCAGACGCTGGTCATTCGAGGCTTCACACCGGAGGACCAGGGCGAGTACCGCTGCAGTCCAACCCATGGTCAGGATTCCACAGCGGCTACCACCTTCCAGGGTGCGTCCTACATAGGAACCCTAGGACATCAGGGGTGGCCTTGACTCCTCTTGGCATCAACTCTCCCAGGGTAGGGAGACTGAAACCAGGAAACAGGGAGTTGTAGTGGGATCCACAGGGCTCAGCCCCAATCTTTTACCCCTTATTTTTGGTAACCAGGCCAGCCGCTACATTTCTCAAGGCCAGGGTTGACCTCACCAATGGCAGAGCCCCTTTACTACCTGAGCCTAGCCACCATACTTCATGTAAGGGGGCTTCCTCCAGAGTCTTCAGCAGCAGCCAGTAATCAGAGCAGATTGGCTGATGTGGCTGCAGCCCCAGCCCTGATCTCCCTCCTGCAGGTTGTGTGACCTGATACCTAACCTCACTGGCCTTGTTTCTCATCTGTAACAAGTGACTGCACCAGTAGCCTGCTTTCCTGGGGATGCTGTCAGGACTGGGGTTTACAGCAGGCCTGGCCTGTTTCTCTTCATTCCTTCTTGTTGCATGGGGGCCTTGAGGGCTCTGCATTTCTACTTGTGAAGTTCCTTAAGTCAGCGACACTCAGTTTGCCCAGGGAGGTGGCAGACCCCAGGCAGCCCTTGGTATCATGAGCCCTGTGAGGAGCTTTCAGGACCTCTAGAGAGACCCAGGGAGACTTTCTAGAGGAGGTGGTATGTCTGTGAGTAAGAGCTATCCAGGAGACAAAGAGCAGGGCTGGCTTCTCAGGCTGTGCGCCTTCTGGGCCTTGTATCTCAGCAAAGCCAGGAGGGGTAAGGTGAGTACAGTTTGTGACTTGGCAGAGACCTTACCTATTTGGATCACTGCCTGCCCCATCCAGGGGAAACAGAGAGATCTTGCGTGGGGAACACTAGAGTGGGCAAAGTCCTCTAACGTTTTGTAAATTTAAATCATGCCATCCAGAATTACCTACTGGCCCAGATAGGAAAGCAGAAACCTTTTGAGCTTACCACTGGCCCAGGGCACATTCTAGTCAGCAGCAGAATGTGCTGACCTGGCTGACCATCCACTGTCCTCCTCAGTGGTGCTGACCCCAGGCTCAGAGGGTGAGACCTCAGCTCAGCCCAGCCTTCCTCCTGAGGCCGCCCAGGAGGGCGACCTGCACCTGTTGTGGGAGGCGCTGGCCCGGAAACGCCGCATGAGCCGAGAGCCCACGCTGGACTCCATCAGTGAACTGCCTGAGGAAGACGGACATCTGCAGCGCCTTCAGCAGGAGGCAGAGGAGGTGGCCCCCTACCTCTCTGAGGGCTATTCCACAGCTGATGAACTGGCGCGCACTGGTGAGGCCGACCTCTCACACACCAGCTCTGACGATGAGTCCCGGGCGGGCACCCCTTCCCTGATAACCTATCTCAAGAAGGCTGGGCGGCCTGGTGCCCCAACGCCTGCCAGCAAGGTGAGCCTCTGACTTGACCTGTAGGAGAGGCCCATCTGTTTCAGAGCATCACCACTCACCTACCCGCCATTTATCCATCATTCCTGTACCTGCTCGTGTAGTTTTCCAATATCTGGCAGTCCATCCATCTACCCTACTACTCCTACCTGTTCACCCATTTATCTCTTTCCATACATCATCAGTGAATTCCCTCACCTGTTTACCTGCTCTTTTATTCCTGTAGGTACGCATCCACTCTGACCACCCTTTCACCCATCCTTTCATATCTACTCACCCACAATCGTCTCACCTACTTGTGCATGCCTCTCCCTGCAATCCTTTATCCTCTTTCCATCCACCCATAAAGTTAAATGCCCATCTACTCATCTTCACCCTTTTACCTACTCACCTTCCCATCCTCCTATCTCTTCCCACTCAAACCACTTATTTCCTCTTCTCTCCACCCCAACTAGGAATCTACCCAGTACTCTAGTCTCTTGCCATGTGTTCACTCTTTCATCCACTCATCTGTTCATCCATATGCTTGATTCTTCATTCATCCCTGCATCTGTTCATCCAATCACTCAATCATTGATTGAAGCATTCATCCTCTTACTCTGTTCTACTCACACACCTTTGCCCATCTACCCATCTTTTACTATCCTTAACCTAGCCACCCACTAATCCTCATCTACCTTCCTATTGCCTCTTCACTTACCCTAACCATGTAACCATCTACCACTTACCTACCCATCCACTCCTCTCCTGTCTCATCTGTCTGTCCACCCAACCTTTCACTCACTAGCCATCTATTCACCCTTTCATTGCCTTTTTCATTCAGTCATCTGCTTAACTCCACCCCAGGCTTGTCCATCTAGTCACGAGTCCTTCTCCTACCCACTCCTCCTTTATCTACTGCGCTCTCCATCTAGCTAACGCCTAGACTTGCTAGGTATCCACCCCATGCAGGGATACAATGGAGAAGTAGTAGCCAGGTTGGGATGTTGCAGGCAGATTCCGTGGCTGCCATCTTGTCAGCCTTAGTAAACGGTTGTTGTATGTCATGCATAACTGCATTCTGAATGCTCACACATCAGTGCCTCATGCACTTACAGGTTGGGGCAAATCACCCAGTTGTTGGAACCTGCCTCTGGCATGGATGGTACTCAGCCAGCATCATATTTGTGTTTTCTCTAAAAGGACCACAGACACTTCTGCACCTTCAGACACATAGGATGTGAGAACTGAGTTTGGCACAGATGTCAGTCACCTAGGTGTCAGTTTTCCCTGTGATATCTTAACTAGGGGATACCCAGTTATCCCCAGATGCCCATTATCCCACCTCACAGCCCGCATGACACTCCCTAATTTTCAAGGCCTCGTCTTTCATTTTCCAACCACTCTGACTGTTAGAACATTTTCCTGGTGAGCTGGAACCAGACTCTGTGGTCATCTTCATAACCTCTATCAGTCAGTTCTCCTGGGTCCCTGTGGAAAGTTGTTTCAGGCAGGGTGGGCTTGCTTGTTGTATCAATAAAAATGGTAATGTATACTGCTTCCATAAAGCTATTGCTGTTACCAACTGGTGAAGGCAGAATGGTGTGCTGGGGTGGGTCTTAGGTCAGGAGAGCTGTCTGGTGTTAAGTCTGTCTCATGTGTCTTTGGGTCCATCCTGCCTTCTCTCTAGCCCTCAGTTTCCTTTCCTTCCATAAGGTGTGGGTGGTTTGTCCCTGAGTCCTGTCAGCTTTAACCTGTTGGACCCCATGTCACACAGATCCCAGCCCCAGCAGCCACCTCTGGGAAGCCACAGAAGATGCAGGAGCCACCAGCCTCAGCACTCCCACCACCAGGTGACCTGAGTGCTGAGGACCTGGATGACCCATGCATGGACAAGGCGGCTGTGAAGATCCAGGCCGCCTTTAAGGGCTACAAGGTTCGGAAGGAGATGAAGCAGCAGGAAGGGCCTGTATTCAGCCGCACGTTTGGGGACACGGAGGCACAGGTGGGAGATGCACTTCGCCTGGAGTGTGTGGTGGCCAGCAAGGCAGACTTTCGGGCCCACTGGCAGAAGGATAGCGTGGAGTTGGCAGATGGGCGGCACTATCACATCGACCAGCTCAGTGACGGCACCTGCTCTCTGCTAATCACGGGCCTGGGTTGTGCCGATGCTGGCCACTACACCTGTCAGGTGAGCAACAAGTTCGGCTGTGCAGTTCACAGTGCCTGTGTGGTGGTCAGTGGGACAGAGAGTGAAGCAGAGAGCTCATCATCGGGGGGCGAACTGGATGATGCCTTCCGCCGGGCCGCCCGAAGGCTGCATCGGCTGTTCCGCTCTAAGGGTCCAGCCGAAGTCTCGGATGAGGAACTCTTTTTCAGTGCGGAGGAGGGCAGCGTGGAGCTGGAGGAACCTGGGGACTGGCAGACGTACCGTGAAGATGAGCACTTTGTCTGCATTCGTTTTGAGACCCTTGCTGAGGCCCACAGTGCTGCCACCCGCTTCCAGGAGATGTTTGCCACGATGGGGATCAGGGTAGAGATCAACCTCATAGAACAAGAGCCCCGTGGGGTGGAGATGCGCATTGGTAAAGTGGCCCCAACAGTACCTCCAGGATCAGCGCCCAGTTTGCTGACCTCAGACACTGGTGAGTATCATGTCATGATCTGTCTGCATGCCACCTTGATCAGGGGTCAGAAGCTGGGGCCTTGAGGTGGAAAGGGAAGGGTTTAGGAGCAAGGCCACTAGTGACCAACATTAGGTGAATACTGAAGGAGTAACCTTTGCTTCAGCACTGGGTTCTTTGCAGATAGCTCAGGGAGGGATGTGGGGAGAGCCCTGGCTTTGATGCTAAAGAGACCTGAAGTTGAATCCTCGCTCTGCATATTATTAGCTATGTGGTTTGGACAAATTATTATCCTCTCTGAGCCTCAGTGCCTTCATTTGTGAAATTGGTATGTAAATGATCTTCTAGAGATTTTTTGTTTTTAATGAGAGTTTGAGATGTAACAAATCTAAAAAGTAGGATTCCACATGGCCCAGTCTGGGCACCATTTCTCATTCATAAGCCAACAGCTAAAAGTAAAGAGTCATTTTACTACTTAATTGTATCTTCCTCGTGGCTCTGTAGGATAAGCACTGAACCACAAGGTCAATGGTTCAAACTCACCAGCCACTCCTTGGAAACCCTATACGGGGTCTCTATGAGTTGGAAATGATTTAACAACAATAAAACAGGAACACTGGATGGTGCATAATTAATAACCCACAGCATCATTTCTTCACCCCTGAATCTAGTTTAGTTTCAAATTCCTCATCCACTTCCACTGGACTCTCAACCCACACTTTTTGCTCATCCTTAAACTTTTCATCCCCCTACACTTATGGCCTTCTAGTTTTCTTGTATCTTAGTAGCTTGGGAGCCAGGCTGGCAAAGAGAATATTGTCCTTAAAGAATGGAAAAGAGATAGACACTTCATGACAAAGTCAGGGTCTGAGAACACATTTAAATGAATGGTTAGTGTACACATATGTGTAGCTACCCATACCCAAATGGTGGTGTCATGTATGTACATGGCAGATGAGATGACTGACTTGACTTGGGGTTTGGTACCGAGAAGGGTGCCACAAGTAACTCCTGTATGCCTGCCCTGCCCCAGCCCCCGTGTTCCTGACTGAGCTGCAGAACCAAGAGGTGCAGGATGGTTATCCTGTGAGCTTCGACTGTGTGGTGACGGGTCAGCCAGTACCCAGTGTGCGCTGGTTCAAGGATGGGAAGGTGTTGGAAGAGGATGACCACTACATGATCAATGAGGACCAGCAGGGTGGCCACCAGCTCATTATCATGGCTGTGGTGCCATCAGACATGGGTGTCTACCGCTGCCTGGCTGAGAACAACATGGGTGTCTCCTCCACCAAAGCTGAGCTCCGCGTGGATTGTGAGTGTTTCTCTTCAGATTGGATCACTCCAAGATGGTCATGTAGGGGACCCTGGGGGATCTCTTGAAGTGGGTGAGAGGAAGGACAGTGCTGGGGTTGGGAAGTTGATCCAGAGAGCATTGTTCTCAAGCCAGGAAGGATTTGGGACCTAAATATCTTGTGTGTGATGAAGACTTCCTTTGGGAGCTAGGGCCAAGACCAGGATCTTCCTTTGGACCCCATTTTGGTGGGGTGAGGGTAGGCTAGAATCTGGGGATCTTATGACTTTGAGTGATGTCCAGGCCCAAAATAGGCCCAGCAAGATAGATGGAGACTCTGGGAAGAAGGTGGACTTGATGGAGTGGTGAGAAGGGCTGGGGCCTGCCTACCCCATCTACCTGTCCTCTGTTCAGATGAGTTTGATTAGGAAGCCCCTATGGAGAAGCTTAGTGGTGTGTTGGAAAAGGGCACAGACTCTGAAACCACAGAGTTGAGTTCAGATTCTGGCTCTTCTACTTATCAGCTCTGTGAGTTGGAATAAGCCATTTAATCTCTCCATGTCTCAATTTCCTGATCTGTCACTGGAAATCATGGTATAACAGTGGGAATTAAGCAAGTTTTTTTTTTTTTTTTAAATCATTATTTCTTTATGTGTTGTTGTTGTTGTTATGTGCCGTGGAGTCGGTTCCGACTCATAGCGACCCTGTATAGGGTTTCTGAGGCTGTAATATAATTTCTTTATTATGTATTCTTAAAAAGCATACAAGAAATAGAGGCGTGCATTCCCCTTTTAAACACACTGCCCCTCAAGAGCCTTTGAAACATTCATGGAAAAAGTCCATTATCTTTTGATTCCATTTGTTCATGAATGTTTTGAAGTACACACACACACACACACACACACACACACATAGAATATATGAGAATGCCAACTAGATGCAAACTAAATATATAAATATATAAAAACAGAGTATGTATCTATCTTGTTATTGTTTATTGGGGGAGTCACTAGACAGTGCAAAAGATTAAGAGCTCCACTACAAACCTAAAAGTTGGTGGTTCGAACCCATCCAGAAGCAGTTCGGAAGAAAGGCTTGGTGATTTTCTTCCAAATGATCACGCCTTTGTAAAGCATATGGAGGACAGTTTTACTCTGCAACACACAGGTCACTTGAAGTTAGAATCAGCTTGGTTAACAACTGGTTTGGTTTTCTGGTTTATTGCTTATTGTCTCTCTCTCACACAGTGATAGACTGTCAGTCTCATAAAAGGTGGTATTTTTGTTTGTTTTGCTCACGGATGTACCCAAAGGGTCTAGGACAGTACCACTAGTAAACATCTCATTTTGAACAAATGCGTTTTATGGTCATAAAAATGCCCTCTTGCCTGTTTACCTGATTATGTATTCATGGTTCCCCCCAAGATAATCGAAACAAGGAGAAACAAGAGGCAACAGCATGTCTGTCTTACTTAATCCTTGTGTCCAGCATGTATAAAGTAATTTGACACATTGAAGATATTCAGTGCATATCCGAAACTAAACAAGATACTGACAGGCTAAATTCAACATGGGCTTTTCTAAAAGGGAATTTGTATTTCAGGGTAACCGCTAACCCAGAGAGACCCTGTAGGGCAGAACAGAATTGACCCACAGGGTCTTCAGGGCTGTAAATCCTTATAGAAGCAGACTCACGTCTTTCTCCAACAGAGCAGCTAGTGGGTTCAAACTACCAACCTGTCAGATAACAGCTTAGAGCTTAACCACTGTGCCACCAGGCTCTTTTCATGGCAACCCAGCTAGCCGTTTTCCTCGGATTCCCTAAAATAATCTCAGCCGTCTGAACAGGAATCATTATTTCTACTAGTTTAATCATTAAGCAAACATAATTATTTCACTTATTATGTATCCCAAGTTTGAAGTCCAGTTCAGACTGTAATTACTGTTTAAATCTCAGTAGGAAACAAACCAATTTTGCCTTTAAAAAAAAAAAAGTTTTATTGTGAATTATGTGATAGTTTA